AAAAAAAAAAAAAAAAAAAAAAAAAAAAAAAAAAAAAAAAAAAAAAGACAGTAGACATGGTAGTCAGTTTAATACAGCTGAATAAGAAGCTATATATCAAGGATCAGACTGAAGGCTATACTTATAGGATGCGGTACTCTATCCTGGGAGCAAGTGACTCTGAAAAAGACTTGAGGATTGTGGTGGATAATTAGCTGAGCAGAAGCTACTAGTGTGATTCTGTGATAAAAAGATCTAATGCAGTCCTTAGGTATATAAAAGGGAATATTGATTAGGAATAGGAAGGTTATTTTACCTCTGTACTTGGCACTGGTGTGATCACTAATGGAATACTGTATTCAGTTTTGGTGTCCATGCTTCCAGAAGGATGTTGATAAATTGCAGAAGATTCAGAGAAGAGCCAGGAGAATAATTAAAGGAGTGAAAAGCATGCCTTATAGTGATAGACTTAAGGCGCTTAACCTATTTTTCTTAACAAAGAGAAGATTAAGGGGTGTGTTGATCATGCTCAGAGTACCTACATGGGGAACAAAATATTGATAATGGGATCTTCACTCTAGTAGACAAAAATATAACATGAGTCTGTGGCTGGAAGTTGAAGCTAGACAAATTCAGACTGGTATTTTAAGTGAGGATAATTTACCATTGTCTCAATTTAGCAAGGTTTGTGGTGGATTCTCGATCACTGGGAATTTTTAAACCAAGATTATTTTTTTTCTAAAAGATATCCTCTAGTTCAAACATGAATTAAATCAGAAGGTCAAAATGATCATAGTGGTCCCTTTTGTGCTTATAATCTATGTATCATGACAAATTGAGGATCTGGCCCAATGTCTTTGGGATCGCCTGCTGAAATATACCACCACATATTGCAGGTTTGTGCCTTTGAAGACTTAAGGGTAGATTGTGCTTTACTGTCCTAGAAATAGTTTGACTTCTTCCAGGTAAACAGATTTCTCTCATCTGGCCATTAGAGTAGATGCATACAAACCATGTTACACATGTATTTAAAATGTTTGGACATGCACTTTAAAACATGAATCCAGCACAATTTGACCCTACTGGATTGATCAACCAACCCAAGTTAATAACTAGCTTAGGTGGAACAAGGTTTAAACCCCATTCAGATGGCTTCTGAACACTGCTGCTGGCCCAATGTAGATGAGGTCTACTGGCAAGTCTTCTTGTCCTTCTTAAGTCAAATTAACAAGTAAATCTAGTCTTCTCATTCACAGTAACTTTCTGTGTATCATTTCTAAGTTGTTGGGTTTTATTTACCCTGAACACATGACTGGTATTTGACTACTTCATGACCTCCAAGGGTCCTTAAGACCCAGTAACTTGCTTCAGACTAATTGTACACCTGACTGTCCTCTAGCATTTAAGTTATGCCTAGAAAACTGTGGATTGGATAGTCTGGTGGTGGAGCCCACTTGTTGTATATAGTGTGGATATATAGTACATCCATGTGGAATCCAATATGCTTCAGATCTATTAATCGTTGCTGTGCTGAAACAATGTACTGGCTCATGATAACTCTTTATTGGTTTGATTTGAAGTGTCTTCTTTGCTTTAAAAGAAATGAGTAATTTTTCAGCTGGTCAAATTGTTAATGATACATTGATTCACTAACAGGACCCTCTGTTGCTTTTTATTGATTCACTAACTCTTTGTTTCTCTTTTCATTTTAGCATAAAGGAATGCCATGGGTTGCCTCTTGTAAATGGACAGAATTGTGATCCTTATGCAACGGTGTCTCTTATGGGTCCTTCTAGGTAACATTTGTTGAATTATATTGCAAATTCAGTATTTCTAAATGCTGTTCTAAATTAGGAAAGAGACAGGTATATCTTCTGGACCAAAGTGTTCAAATATATAGTTGTTAAATAATTAATTGGATGGATGGATTTTAGTGTGGAAGAGAATAATCTTTATTTTCCCCCACCAGTTACTTACGATGTAGTGTATGTGTTCTATACAAACTTCTGTTAGTATAGAAACAGCACTGAACGATATATAGGTACATAGTCTCATGTAACAAAACTTTTTCTCTGTTAATTTTACTTGCACTGAAAATCTCTTTACAGGCTAAGGTTGTCCATGGTATAAGAACATATGCTATGTATGTTATAAGTCATGTACCTTTGTGTCTGTTAAGACCATATAAAACCTATTTAAAAGCAAAAAATAGTAGTTTTCATATTTGCTGTGCTTCTCACTGAGCACTGTGTTGAGCAGGAATTGCTAGCTGGGATGAGAAATAAATAGAATGCTTATTTACATAAAGTATTTTTAGTGATTTTTTTTTTCTATCCGTCTGCCTTAGTTTAGAATTAGCAAGGGCTTTTTATTTTTTATTTTTTAAGGAAATACTTCGTATCTGAGCAGTTCTTGAAAGTGACATGTTCTGTCTCTGGGAAGAAAGGAGGCAATATTATGTGGTTATTATGAACAATGTACACCACCACTTAAAATAGAAAACAGGAGTGGAGCAAGAGGAGGGGATGGAGAAGGAACACTGAGCATTTCATATGTGGAAGCAGATGCACAAATACCCTGTTTTCAGGAGTGAAAATTGTTCCAATCCATTCCAAATTTTAATCCAGGGTGGATAAAAATCAATTATTTAAAAAAATAAAATAAAATAAAAAATCGGATTTTTTTTTAATTTAAATGGGATTTTTTTGGTAATTTCCCCCCCCCCCCTCAAAAAACATTTTATCTAAAGATAGATACATTATAGTTCAAAGATATCTCATCATGGAATAGGAATTATTAATTCTATAGTATGAGACACTATATTCATGTAATGTTTTGTAAATGAGTTCTAATAGTTCATTAGGGACCCAATCTTATGGGGTTCCATAGGCTTCTGTATAGATTATTTAGGTTAATCTTTCTAGCTACCCAATGGGACTCAGTGCTCAGTCTAGAGGATACCATCAGAGATGCTTAGTTTTGCAGTTCTCAAACTGTGGATTTGTGTCTCCAGAGGTAACATGCTTGTTAACAGCAAAAATGTTTTAAAATAAATCATACACAGAGGTGAGAAATTACACATAGAGTTGAGGTCTGTTCACAAATTTGCAGAGGGACAAGAGTCAATCCCTTACCTCTTTCTAAAAGTGCAACATTTCAAAAAGTTCAATGAATAGAAGATTGTTGGGGGTGGAATAGATCTGGACAGGAGAAGAATTCTGGAGATAAATGTGAGACTCGAGGGACATATGCTTGTTTGTTAAAATATTGTTTGCTGTTGAAGAAAAAAATCCAGAATACTTAACGTTGTTGTTTTAGTTAAAACAATTGAAATGTCTGTCTGGTGATGTTCTCCTCCTAATACAGCATGACAAGAAAATCCTCCAAATATTAATGATAGTTCACCTCCCAATGACTTCATAAATATCTGCTTCAGTTACCTTTGATAAATGAAATAACCAAACAATCATTCATTTTCTGATGTAGCTGTAAAACTAATCTGAAAAGTTTTCAGAATAACTCGCTGTTTAAAAATGTATAGTGTGTACTTCTAAAAATGAAACCTACATCTACCTCTGAGTTGTGAAGAATATGTTTTAAGGTTCTAAAAACCAACAAGAATGCACTTTCATATAGAAAGCCATGATTAAATCGAGTCTTCCTAACTAGTGATTTAAATCAAATCCACACTGTTTTAATCTGTATCAACCTCTATCCATTTCATGTTGCACTTGTCTGTGAACTAAAATATAAATGGTAAACTAAATATGACCACCTCCCAGGTGCACGTGTATATGTAAATAGGTACAGCTTTTGAAGATCACCATTTAGCTTTTCAAACCATGCTGTGAATGTGTATTAACTTTTTCTCTTCAATATTTTTCCATTATATCAAGTGACATCTTAAATGACCTCAATACTTACATAATCACCCTGTATATCTTCAAATCTCAAAGGTATTTAGGGACCTATCTTCCATTGAAATTAATAGGAGTTAGGCACCTAAATATGTTTGAGGTTCTGGGCCTGAGAGTTAAATGGATGGCCCTTTCTTGACAATAGAATGTTTTAATAATTGTGTGTTTAAATTCTATATGGTAAAACTGTACCACATTGAAACAGGAATGACCAAAAGAAGACAAAAGTAAAGAAGAAAACAAGCAATCCACAGTTTAATGAAACATTTTATTTTGAGGTAACTAACTTCTCTTAATTTAAACTGTCAAATCTTGTTTGTGTGTGTTTGTGTGTGTTTTGAGCTAGCCACAAGAGGGTCTCTTGAAGTAAATGCAAGTTTCTCCATAATAAATTAAGTCACCTTTATTTGTAACAGGTTTCAAAGTAGCAGCCGTGTTAGTCTGTATTGGCAAAAAGAGCAGGAGTACTTGTGGCACCTTAGAGACTAACAAATTTATTTCAGCATAAGGTTTCGTGGGCTACAGCTTACTTCTTCGGATGCATAGAATGGAATACACAGACAGAAGATATTTATACATACAGAGAACATGAAAAGGTGGAAGTACTCATACGGTCCATACCATACAGGTACTTCCACCTTTTCATGTTCTCTGTATGTATAAATATCTTCTGTCTGTGTATTCCTTTTTATGCATCCGAAGAAGTGAGCTGTAGCCCACGAAACCTTATGCTGAAATAAATTTTAGTCTCTAAGGTGTCACAAGTACTCCTGTTCTTTATTTGTAACAGGCTGAAAGACCACAGCAATCCCATTCAACTACTACCTAGTGAGAGGTGTTAGTTTCATAGTCACAAATGTAAGGGCTATTTATTGCCCTTGATTGGCTGCCATCAGTTGCAGTTCTGATATGGACTGAAGTGTGAATGAATATATATATGTCGCTCTTAATTTGAACATCTTCCAGAGCACTTAGTAAAAAATATCAGGTTTTGGCTGTGTATAGTCAGTACAGTAATTTAACAGGGCGATCAGTGATTTTAAGTCATTCTCTAGGTAGAATAAGTGAATGCTTTAACTTTTTGCTGCTTAAGCCTTGGGATCAAATCCCGTCTCCAAAAACAAATGGCGTTAAGTTTTGTACCTAGCCTCATCTCCTTTGTCTTCATCAGAAGATCAATATACTTCTTGGCATTCTGTTAGACAGTCCTGGGCTTGGAATATCTGTATTGAGGTGCATCACTGGTGTTGTGTGGGTTATTTTATGCAGTCCTTGGTGAAATAGACTGAAACTGCATATTGCTTTAATGCATTGCAATGTGCAAAATAGAATTCTGGCTCTAGCGAGTCTTTAGGTAGAATGGTGCTTTTCTGTAAACAAAATGAGTTACTGTAGGACAAATCCTGACACTAACTACGCACAAGTCTGGAAGGCCCTGAAGGCAACAGAGCTGGTAAATACCATGCTTGGGAGCAGGAATCTGTTATGACTTCCTCTGCACTCTCACAGTTTTGGGGTGAGCTAAAGCATGGAAACTGGTGGATATTCCTCCTCTGACCACTGCAGAACTCTCATGCCAAGCGTGGTTTACTTTAGCTTTGGTGGAGGGGGCCAAAATTTGGTCCTTTAAGATGGTTCCACTACCTTTGTTTTCCATTTTGTGTTCTGCTTTTCCTTTTATATTGTGAAAAATAAAATAGCCAGTAAAATATATATCCCTTATTTTCAAGTTATCAAGCTATATGAAAGTATTGAACTTTTTAAAATCAATACTGTGACAGTAATATGTAATTTAATGCTTTGCATATAGGTTCTGATCCTGTGAGAACTCTGCTTTTGAAACTCCCATTGATTTCAATAAGAAATGGATGATTGGAGTGCTTGCAGAATCAGGCCTATAGTTTTGTTTTGGCTCTCATGTTCTACCTTATGAAATCCCAGATTAAATTTTTCTGTGAATTAAGATGTTGGAACAAAATGGTTACAAAGCAATTACATAATTTTATGGCTTAGACTCATGTAAACTACACAGTATCCTATCTGGGAATGCAATAAATTGAGCACAAAATTAATCTGGAAGTGAAAAGAGATTCTAAAATATGCAGTTACAATTGTGTGACGTGGGGGAGGGAACAGTTGGATTTTTGTTGTCTCCTCAGTGTATATCAGTTTATGATGCATAATTAATATCTTAGAACTTTCAGAAATTTGTTTTCAGGACTAATATAATATTAAAGAAGCAAAGATTTTACAGTAGATATGGAAGATTTGTAATTTAAAAACCAGGTTGAAGGAGAAAAATCATTGAGGAATTTTACTTACAGGTAACCAGGTCCAGTAGTTATACCAAAAAGTCCCAGTTTCAGGTAGAAGAAGAGGACATAGAGAAGCTGGAAGTCAGGTATGTTCTTGAGATTATATATTTAATATCAGTTTCTATAAAGTGCATTAAAACCTTTATGCCATAACATTTCTTTATTTGGATATAATGTGACTGCAAAAAAACTAGTGTTCAAGTTTACAAAGAAGATTCATCCAATTTCAGAAATAAAATCCTCAGAGTAAACTTGTTTTTTTTTTTCTAAAAGTGAAATTGTAAACTATTGTGAGTATCTGAGAAAATTATTAATGTAATTAAAATGTTTATTCAAATTTCAGATAGCTTAGTTTATGGAAAGTTGTATTTTCCTTAATATTTATTCCCTGGCAAGTGTACAATATTTGTTTAATGTCAATGAAAACAAAATCCTTTTTTTTTTCTGAACCTAAATTCTTTACTTAGTACAGCAGAACCTCCATTTTAGGAATGCCAATCTTATGTACAGCCAGTTACAAACCATTTTTCATGTTGGAGGTGGGGGAATTACATAACAAAAGTGATGTCAATGGAGAACAAGTGGATATCTTCGCACGTTCTGTTGCCTTCAACGCATTGAAAATCGCAGGGGTTTTTTGAAGGACAAAAAGAAAGCAATGCGATGTGCCATACTGCAACTAGTACACTCTACATACTGTAGTTTTGAGATGTCCAATTTTATTAATTTTTTGATCTCTCCTCAGTCCCCGATTACTTCATAGAACAATGGATTTTCTGTAGTGTATATACATTTGGAGCTAAACTCAGGATGCCCTGCACTGGGTTGTAAGCGGTACAAAGAGCCCCTCACTCTCAACATGCTCTTGCAGAAATCAATCAGAATGCTGACCCTAGCATCAAGAATTCAAGAAAAGTGAGGCATCTAGTCCACCCAGTGGCACTACAGGGCTCCAAGGGTATAGTAAGTTGTGTTGGGGGCCTGGACAGGAACTAGCCTCTCCTACGTGTCTGCTAGTATCTGGCAGCATGTTTGGTGGAACACATAATACCTTCCCCTAGCAGATATAAGAAGAGCCTTACAGCGTATTTCCCCTTTCCACTCCTGCATACTTTAAAATAGTTTGCCTGCCTTTGTACTGCACAAGCAGTGTTTCAGAGCACCTCATTTAGCCTCATAAGCTTTGCACATGCACACGTACATGCCCGACCTCAGAGAGGAATTGAGGGCACAACTTGAGCGTTAGTGATGATTTCATAGCTGGCACACAAAAAAAAGAATTTAGTGTAAATTTTAATTCTCATTAAAGCACTAACTTCTCACTCATTTCTAAGTCTGTTCTTGCGTATGTGACCCATCAATTTGTACAGTGTGTAGGATTATAGATGAAAATGTATATAGAAAAGCAATTATGCCCCAACAACTCTAGTATTAATTTTTTTTTGTTCTTAACATATCTGCTGTCTAAAAGAAATGTCAGAGGTAAGAAGTAATAGAATCCAAGCCAGGTGCATGTCTTTGGAGTGATAGCTCTTTAGGTTTTGAACATTCAAGCCATTGTCTGAAAAAACAAGCGCATGTGTCAGTGTGATATGGCAGTCTGTCCAAGTTTTACTTGCAGCAGTAAAATAGGGATATAAGTACACTGGTAAAAGTTCACTGCAAACACCTGAAAATGAAATGCAGTAATTTCATTTTATATTTTTGTTCAAAATAGAAAACGCATCAACCAGTATCACTATGTTTTACTGATGTAAAGTCTGTGATTTCTAACTTTCACTGTCTAAATTTGTTTCCATGGCTGCCTTTTGTGGGTTTAATAAGCCATTCGAGTGCCTCTTGATTTTACTAGATTGGTATGACAATTCTAATATTTCCTGTCTGCATGCATGCTGAATTAGTGATGCAAGATGGTTGTTGATGATCTGAAATCTGCTGGTGGTTTTTATTCTTCTAATTTGCAAGAAGATTAAAAAGAATGTTTTGACTTTCAGGATTGATCTATGGAACAATGGAAACCTGGTGCAAGATGTCTTCCTAGGAGAAATTAAGGTTCCAGTGAAAGTGTTAGGAAATGATTCCTTCCAAGCATGGTGAGAAATAAGGGACCAAAAGAAAACTTGATCCCACATCCAGGGTGGGCAAACATTTTGGCCCGAGGGCCACCTCTGGGAATAGAAATTGTATGGCGGGCCATGAATGCTCACAGAATTGGGATTGAGGTGAGGGAGGGGGTGAGAGCTCTGGTTGGGGGTGCGGGCTCCAGGATGGGGCCAGAAATTAGGAGTTCAGGGTGCAGGAGGGGGCTCTGGGCTGGGGCAGGGGAGTGAGGTGAGGTGGGGGGGAATGAGGGCTCCAACTGGGGGTGCGGGCTCTGGGGCAGGGCTGGGGATGAGAGGTTTGGGGTGCAAGAGGGTGCTCTGGGCTGGGATTGAGGGGTTTGGAGGGTGGGAGGGGGATCAGGGGGTTGGGGTGTGAGGAGAGGCTCAGGGGTGCAGGCTCTGGGCAGCGCTTACCTCAAGCAGCTCCCAGGAGCAGCAGCAGGTCCCTTCTCCGGCTCCTACGAGGAGGCGCGGCCAGACAGCTCTGCACCGTCCTCAGGCACTGTCCCTGCAGCTGCCATTGGCTGCAGTTCCTGGCCAACGGGAGCTGCAGGGGTGGCGCTTGGGGCGGGGGCAGCGTGCAGAACAGAGCACCCTGGTTTCCCCTACAGGAGCCAGAAGGGGGCCATGCCGCTGCTTCTGGGATCCACATGGTGTAGCCCCTGACCCTGCTCCCCAGCTGGAGCGCCAGAGCAGGGCAAGCCCCAGACTCCACTCCCCAGCGGGAGCTCAAGGGCCAGATTAAAACGGCTGGTTGGCCGGATTTGGCCTGCGGGCCATAGTTAGCCCACCCGTCCTACATTGATTTCCTTAATGCAGAAAGTATGTTGTTCAAGTGCTTGCTCATGTCCATTCCAATGTAGGTGTGTGCACATCCCAAGCACAGTTCCTTCTTACCGCCCTTTACAACTTCTGGAACTACTCTCATTGCCTTGGGCTAACTTTCCTAGTAGTTTTTCTGCTATTTTTCTTCTTTCTGGTGTGTATAGTTTGTTATAGTAGCAATAGGGTTGTTTTTATTATTATTATTATTATTATTATTATTATTTATTTTATTATTAAGTTGTTGGACTCCTTTGCGCTTAGTGAGATTCATCCACTCCCCAGTGCTGAGGCATGCCTCAGTCACCTAGCTTCAAGCCCTATGGTTCCTGCGGCAAGTTGATGCCACTGAGCAACCTGTACTCAAGCTGTCTCAAGTTCTTGGGGATGTCTCATAGAAAGGACCACTGCCAGATCTGCAAGGACTTCAAACCTCACACCAAAAAGGACCGGGAGGTGAAATTGAAAGTCTTTCTCGTGGAGGCAGCTTTGAAAGCCACTTCAGAACCACACTCAAACTCCACACCAAATACTTCAGTTTGCTGTGGAGCGCTCCTCCCACTGGTCATGAGTCCCCACCCCCCGATGACCAAGAAGAAACATAAGAAGCAGCCGGAAAAGTGTCAGTCCCCAGTGCCAAAGTCAAGCAGGAAATGGGGACTGGAATAGAGTGAGATCCACGTCGGGTCACTCTTCCACGCACCACAACAGCCAATACCAGCGGTTCTAATACCTACATAGGCTCTACTGACTCCTGCATAGGTAGCATTGCCCTCAGGCAGACAGCATGCCAATCAGTTCAGAGTATTGTCAACTCTGGAGGCAGTTGTGGCAGCCAGGAATGTACTTTCATTGCTGGTTCCTGCATCCCCAGCCATACAGGACTCTGTACTACCAGTACCGTTGAGTGCCAGAGAACCAGCCACCATCTGGTACCAGGACTGCCCTCTAGCAGGAAAACCCCACACAGTAGCCTCATCACAGGCTTCACCATGGCACTGGCACCAAGGGGTTCACCCCACCCTGGTCGCCATGCCAGGACTCTTCATCAGGATCCTACTGTTCCTGCCATTGCAGCTGCCCACATTACTCCCTGGGACATTCCTACTCCACCATGAGCCCCAAGCGCAGTGGTACCACCAAGCGCTTGGCCACTGGGTCCGTGGGGGCCAGCACTCTTGCAGTGGCCCTTTGGGAATCTTTGGGGGTTCCCCAAAGTTCAGGATGCACTCTTGAGGTGCTCCTACTCAGTGGCCTCAGAGAGCAGAGCAGACAGCCCTCTCTCCCCTTCCCCACCCCCCACTCCCCCCCGGGATCCAGACTCTGGTACCAAGCCTCAAGAAGAAGCCCTGCAGGTCTTGGTCAATATGGAGGACGAGGTGGAGGCCCCTCAGCTGTTCCTATCTTCTTCTTCCCCAGATGGGGCGGGCGTGTCCACTCTGCAAGATGATCACAAGGTCTACCAAGACTTATTAAAGCAAGTGTCCTCAAATCTAGGCATACAGACAGGGGTGATCAAGGAGGCAACTCAGCCTATTGGACATTCTATCAGCAGTGGGTCCTTTGGTGGTGGCTCTACCACTTAACAAGGCTATCGTGAACCCAGTTATGGGGGTGTGGCAGACCCCTGCTTCCCTCCCTCCCACACAAAGCATATGGAGCAGAAGTACTTCATACCAGCCAGAGGTTACAAGTTTCTGTACTTGCATCCTCTCCCAGGATCCTTGGTGGTAGCAGCTGCCAATGAGAGAGCGCGACAGGGACAATCGGTACAATGTCTAAGGCAGTGGTCCCCAACCTTCTTCATCTGGTGGGCGCCAGACAACAAGCCACCGTGGCCAGCAGACAAGCATCCGCCGAAATGCCGCCAAGAAGCGGCAACATCAATAGGCGTTGGCAGCATTTCGGCGGATGCTTGTCCGCTGGCTAGTACATGGGCGCACATAGATGCCCCGGTGGGCGCCGCATTGGGGACCACTGGTCTAAGGCAAAGGACCCAAAAAAGTTAGACCTGTTTGGCTGCAAGGACTAGAGCGTCACAGAGCAAACCAGCAGGCACTGCTGGGTCACGAGGACTTCAATATGTGTGAGGCTATGCAAAAATTTAAGGACTTGTTCCCTGAGGATACCAGACAGGAGTTCTCCTTGCTGATCGAGGAAGGGAAAACGATGGCGAAGGCCGCCTTACAAGCAGTCCTGGATCCAGCCATTTCTGCGGCCAGATCTATGGTCACAGCAGTGATCATGTGGCAGAAGCTCATGGTTGCCATCATCTGGCTTTCCCCAGGAGGTACAACAGACCCTTCAAGATCTTCCCCTTGGAAGGGTCCTCCCTCTTTTTGGTGCAAACTGATGCTAGGCTCCATGGGCTTAAGGAATCTAAGGCGACCTTGAAATCCCTGAGGCTGTAAACTCAAGCGGCATCTAGGAAGCTTTATAGGCCCCAACAGACTGGCCACTACTTTGTCCAGCCTCCGACAGGTCTTTTTAATAAGACTGGAACTTTTCAGCTTGGAAAAGAGACTAAGGGGGGATATGATAGAGGTCTATAATATCATGACTGGTGTGGAGAAAGTAAATAAGGATGTGTTATTTACTCCTCACAACACAAGAACTAGGAGCCACCAAATGAAATTAATAGGCAGTTGTTTTAAAACAAAACAGTATTTTTTTTCTCCACACAACGCAAAGTCAATCTGTGGAACTCCTTGCCAGAGGATGTTGTTGTGAAGGCCAAGACTATAACAGGGTTTAAAAAAGAACTAAATCATTCATGGCGGATAGATCCATCAATAGCTATTAGCCAGGATGGGCAGGGATTGTATCCCTAGCTTCTGTTTGTCAGAAGCTGGGAATGGGCGACAAGATGGATCACTTGATTATTACCTGTTCTGTTCATTCCCTCTGGAGCACCTGGCATTGGCCACTGTCAGAAGACCGGATACTGGGCTAGATGGACCTTTGGTCTGACCCAGTATGGCTCTTCTTATGTTCTTATGATCAGCAGAGGATGAAGAACAGGGAGTTCAGGCATAGAGCTCCTCCACTGGCTTCCACAGTAGGGCCAATGCGGGCTGTCCCCAGACACTCAGGGAGCTCGAAACACTCTTTTTGACAAGATGCTCATGGTTGACATCTCAGTCCCCACAGTATAGGATCCAGTTACCCCTCTGTTTTTGAACTGCCTGTCCCACTTCTTCATTGCTTGGAGACCCACATTACTTCAGACTGTTGGGACTCAAGGCCTGTTGTCCCCAGTTTGCCAAGCTTTCCTGCCCCACATTACGAACAAAGTCATTTTGGTTCTTATGGACAACACAGCTGCCATGTTTTACATCAACAGGCAGGGAGGCGCTTGCTCTTCCCCTCCCACGTTCTCCCCTGGCCCCCATGCCAGAAAGCAATCCAGCTATGGGAGTTCTGCATAACACGTTCCATCCATCTCGAGGCATCGTACCTACAGGGAGCATAGAACCAGCTGGTGGATCACCTCAGCAGATCTTTCTTCTCTCACCGTGAATGGTTCCTTTGGCTGGACATGACGAGGGGCATTTTCCAACAGTGGGGGACTCCATTATAGGCCTGTTTGCTACCCATGACAACAGGAAATGCCACCAGTTCTGTTCCCTGCAAGGCCACAGCCCAGGGTCTCTTATGGATGCCTTCCTGCTATCATGGATAGATCACTGGTATTACACCTTTTCCCCTATCCTGATGATACACAAGATTCTGATGATCAAGCTGGACCAGGCACAGGCCATTCTCATAGCCCTGGCATGGTTCACCACCCTGTTAGGCCTCTTGGTGGAGACCCCGCACCTGCTTCTGCTACACACGGACCTGATCTCCTGAGACCACGGTTGGCTGCTCCACTCAAACCTCAGTTCTCTTCATGTGACAGCTTGGAAAATTCATGGCTGAATCCTGAGGAGTAAGTTTGCTCGGAGCAAGTCTGAGTTCTGTTAGGCGGTAGAAAACCCTGCAAAAAGGAAGTGATTCTCTATCTGATCCTCCCAATGCAGAGTTCCACTCACAGAGCCCTCATTGCAACTCATATTGGAGTACCTTTTGCACCTGAAGCAACAAGGTCTGGTTATTTCTTCAGTCAACATCCTCCTAGCAGTGATATTGGCCTTCCATCCCCGGTCGACAGCCAGTCTGTCTTTTCACACAAGATGGATATCTGTTTTCTTAAAGGCCCGGAGAGGTTATACCCCCCAGGTAAGAGAGCCTATTCCTCCCTGGAACCTAAACCTTGTCTTATCAAAGCTCTTACAGGCCCCCCGTTTGAGCTGCTGACCATGTGTTTGTTGGTTCACCTCTCCTGTAATGTGGCCTTCTTAGTGTCCATCACCTTGGCCAGAAGGGTTTCGGAAATCCATGTCCTCACATTGGAGCCCCCTTATACAATTGTCTTTAAGAATAAGGTGCAGCTGCATCCACACCTGGCATTCCTCCTGAAAGTGGTTTTGCAATTCTACTGCAGTCAAACAATCTTCCTACCTGTGTTCCTCCCAAAGCTGCGTGCGAGTAGGGAGGAGCAACGTCTAAACTCCTTGGATGTTAGACATGCCCTGGCATTCTATATACAAAGAACCAAGATGTTTTGCAGATCAACCCAGCTGTTCATAGCAATAGCAGAAAAGATGAAAGGCCTTCCCATCTCTGCCCAGAGAATCTCGTCCTGGATTACATCATGCATTTGTGCATGTTAAGAGCTGTCTGGCATTCCACTTCCAGATTACCTGACCACTCATTCCACAAGATCACAGGCCTCCTTGGCCACTTTCCTAGCATAAATCCCTATTCAGGGCAGCAACCGTGATCTTTGGTGCACATGTTCTCAAGGAATTATGCCATCACCTAGCAGACCGGAGATAATGCTAACTTGAACTGCATAGTCTTGCTTGTTCTTGAATTCTGAGCCCACCTCCTATGGTACTACTTGAGTCACCTACTTTGTAATGGACTTGTACAAGCACTCGAAGAAGAAAAAAGCAGGTACTAACCTTTCTGTAACTGTTTTGTTCTTAAAGACGTGTTGCACATGTCCATTCCAAAACCCGCCCTCCTTCTCTTCTTATCAGAGTCGCTCGGTAAGAAGAAACTGAGGGGGCGCAGGGTCCTCTATACCGGTGCTGCACGTGGCACCAGAGGGCACTGGAGCTGACCTGACAGATGCCACTGGGGGGGGAAATTCCGGCAACTGTGCTCGGGGCTCACAAACACCTATATTGGAATGGACACGTGCAACACCTCTAAGAATACTTACAGAAAGGTTAGTAGCCGTTTTTTATAGTATACGTTAGATTTCTTAGTCATGGCTCAAATAGCAAGAAAAACAATCTTACTGTAGTTCTTCTGAGATACAGTAATATAGCATATATGCCAGGTGCTAAATTTTAAATATTTTCTTCCAGGTGCTCCACTGATTCATAGCTTGTGTGTGTGTGCGCGCGCAAATCTTTATTTTTTTCCTATAAAACGACACATCTGCAGGGGGAAATAAAGGATGGGAAATTTAAAAGCCATTGCTTTCTAATAATTGCAATTTTATAATCTGACATTTCTCTGTGTGCATGCATGCGCGCACACACACACACACACACACATACATATATAATTTTAAATAAATAAAATATGGATGCGGAGGGGAGAAAAGAATTGGGGGGAAAACAAATAGCCATGAATAGATAATTTGATAATACAGATTCTGTATTATACATTTTTATTTTGAAGATTATATAATTAGGCTAAAGCAAATTAGAGTACCTTTCCATCTTGGGGGAATTTATAGTCATTACCCATCTATATAGTTAAATACTATACAGACCTGAGATGAGTGATTGTGTAGTCTCTCCAGTCTTAGCTACGTGTTAACTAACAACCACTTTTCCTAGTGTAGACATACCCTTGCTTGGTAGCTCCCATGTCACACCATTAGTTCTGTTAACAGGGTAGATGAGTCTTGAATTTTAATGTTAAAGAGAAAACGGGGGGGAGGGGAAATCCCTCCCTTCTCCCCCACCACCACCCCCCCAAAATATCTTTTAGGCCTCCTTTATGCATCAGAGAAACAAAAGCACAAATTCACTAATGTGGGCATGAAAACAACGAAACACATACATTGTAGTATGGTTAAATGCAGATGTTTCAATATTATTGTAAACTATTACCCAATTGGGGGTAATACCCGACAGTGGTGTTCCATTGTGGAGCTCATCTGGCACCAATGGCCTAGGGGTCTAGAAACCTGAAGGAACCCTATACACCTTCAGGCCTGACAAGGAACCTTGAGTGGAAGTGGGAGTCCCAATTACTCCCCTCCTTCACATTGGAGGTAGGAGAGATAAGATAGCGGGAGCCACCAGCTGCATGAGACAGGGAAACCCCTCAACACATATGGCTGTGCCTGGGATCGATGCCCAGGCAGCCTGCTGAGTTACATCAGACAATTTACCCACCAACCACACTGGAACCTGCCAAAGTTGCAACATGTGTAATTTAAATCTCCAAAACTAGAAGGATGCTGGATTAGTAAAGATTTTTGACTAACAGAGTTTAAACCCTATAAAAATAGCTAACTGACCTTTATTAATTTATAGAAATGTTGCCTGTCCTTTTGGAGAACAGCAGAAAACTTTTTTGGGGGGCTTTCCAGAAAGCTGCCAGCCTAGAGCAGACAGAACAGATAAGGGAGTGCCTCCAAAACTGAGTACTGGGGAAATGAGTATTTTTCAGAATCCTGATTTGCAATGGAGGCTGAATCAGTCACTCTATACATTGGCATGACACCTTCAAGTGTGGTGTATCTAACATTAAAATAACATTAACATTAAAATACAATTGTGTACTGTACAAGATGTTTGAAAATCAGTATAATCTTGGTGTGTGGTGTTTTGATATTAAAGTTGTACTATTTGACACGATAAAGAAATTACTTTATCAAAATGTCACTTGCACAACTGCACCACCTGTTGGCGTAGAATTAAATTACAGACAAAAGCCAAGAAAGAATCATATAATAATTATACGGTGATAATTGGGTAAAGCAACATTAGAATCATAATCAAAAACTAGGACCCTGGGATTGTCTAATAAAATGCAATTCTGGGATTTTGAGACTGGGAATAAAATCCTGTGTTTTCCAGATTTTCAGATTCTCCTTTTGTTTTTGCTTTTCCAGCTTGCAATTTTTGAATTTATATACAATATAATTATAACATGATTTTTCGATCGCTGCTATTGTGTACTTTCAAAATAAAATTTATCCTAGTTTTTGCTTGGGTACTGTATTCTCTACTGAATATTTTTCTTCACAGCTTTCACTTTTTGCTCTATTTTTGTTTCGTTCTAGACCATCCGTAATTTCTGCAGATGAATGCTACTCATCTTGTAGCAGTATTAATGGGTAATTAGAATAAATGTAACCTAGATTTAAAATGAGAATTCAGTTTTTTAAAATGCTGAATAAACCAGTATCAGCATTTGTAACAATCCCTGTTCTCTCCACCTAGCCCCACAAATACTATTACTCCACACAACTCTCACCTGCAGAAAAGACCTGAGAAAATGTAAGCCTTGCATTATGTCCTGATGATCTACTGAATGCTCGTATCTTCAGTTAAAGATTTTTTTAAAAAATTCCTTTAATCACCCATATCTAGTTCTGAAGTCTTTTTATCTTAACTTTGTTAAAACCATTGACAGCAGGGCCAGATTCAGACTGGTGAGTTAATATACACTAGAAAATTTCTTTGTCATTTTACCATACTGCGATATTAATCTAGTTCCTTAAACAGTAACTTTTAACATAGTATTTTACAATTGTCTTGTTATTTTCAGGTACTTACTACAACCAAGAGAAAATGGAAACAAATCCTCTAAAACTGATGATCTGGGATCACTTAGACTAAATGTTTGTTATACTGAAGACTATGTACTTCCATCTGAGTACTATGCTTCTTTAAGAAATTTGCTGCTAAAATCACCAGATGTTCAGGTACTTCTTCTTTTTGTTTTAGAAGAAACAGGCAACAGATCTAGGGCCAGGTTATGACCTTCTGCACATGCTGCTTTATGGGAGTAAGGGGACATGACTCTTCTCCTCCGTAGTCTACCTGTACCATGACTGTGTAAGCAGCTCAGTGAAGCCACTGTTCCTGCTCCTCCTGGGTGGGCAGCACCTTGACTCCCAACCTGTCCCTACCCTTAGCCCTGGCCAGTACAACGAAGCTGGAAGAGGGCAAAGTAATCTGTAACAGCTACAAGGCTTTCAGTGGTTACTTTCTCCCTGGAGCAAGGGGGGAAAACAGAGACCTGATTTGGACTCGGAGTACGCTAGGACAGATGGTCTAATTTATAAGGCACTGGATTGGGATTCGAGGACCTGGGTTCAATTTGTTGCTCAGCCACAGATTTCCTTTGTGATCCTGGGCAAATCACTTAATCTAACTTGTGCCTCCGTTCTCTATCTGTAAAATGGGAATAGCACTTCTCTGCCTTATAGGGGTGTTGTGAGGATAAAATCCATTAATGATTGTGAAATGCTCAGATGCTACTGCGATGAGGGCTAAAAAAAATGAAAGTACCTGGATATGACCCTTGAGCAATGCAACCATATGCTGCCATTTATTCAGGGCTTGTGGCAAAGCCGCAATCTAACCCTTTAGAAATATTATAATGAATAAATGTAGAATTTTTAATAGTGGGTGTCAAAGTATTTGAAGGTACTTAAGCCACTCTGAGCAGATAGTATCTATTTTCAATAAGATTATTTTGTAGACTTGTAATTGGCCTCGTGCTAAGTTTTCTTACAAAACTGGTGGTATCTGCAGTCTTGTTGAGATCTAATCTTTTCCAGGTTGTGTTCAGACTGTATAAGTAGTATGTTAAACTGTTTTCATCTTGGTTTCACCTTTATTTTTGTTACAGCCAGTCTCTGCTTCTGCTGCCTACATTCTGGGTGAAGTGTGTCGAGATAAATATGATGCTGTTTTGCCTCTTGTAAGACTATTGCTGCACCATCAAAAGATAGTACCATTTGTTACTGCAGTGGCCGAACTAGACTTGAAAGACACTCAGTATGTTTCATCTTTCCATAACTTCATGATAACATGGGGTGTTTTATTTTTAGAGTTCTACATCCTTTTATGACCAATTTTTGATAAATGGTCACTATTCATTTCTTCATTAGTTTAAGTTAACTCTGAGTATATGTAATCACTTGCCATTGAATATTTCATTGTAACATCACTTGATAATACTGCTCTAGCTGAGGATCGGAATTCACATAGAGCCCTGTTTTAGATGGGCTGGTTTGGCTGTTGTTTTTTCTTTTAGCTGTTATATAACTAAACATGACATATTAGAACAGTGTCCAACAGCAAATGGGTTTTGTTTTGTTTTTTGTTTCTAAACATCAGTTTGGCCATTTTCTGTATATTTTATAGGTCATTAGTCTGCAATTCGGATTCTGTTTTCAAAGATTTATGCCCAAATCTTACTTCTGTATGAGCTGAAAAGCAACACGGGTACTGTTTTGTTGAATAAGTGTAGCGATCACGTGCATGTGGAGTTCACACTCTTCTATGCATCTTGAAAACTGCACCATGGAAATTTAAACCCCCCACTTTTGGTGGCATGGGTCTGACACAGGGAGTATCAACAATAGGGCCTATTGGTATGCAGTTACATATATCCATTGGTCAATCCACTGCACCCATATTTTAGGACAGGGGACATAAAGTAACAGACACTGCTTAGCCCCCCAGAGAATACAGGAGTGGCCACCGAGGTGCTGTTATGTGCTGTGAAGCTGGGAAAGGAATAGATTCCATTACCACAGAGGTCACCTCTGAAAAGTGTACTTATTCCAGTTTTGTGTAGGGTGAGAAAATCTGGCCTATATTTAGGCTTGACAGAATTCAAATTGTATTATTTTTTCTAATTTCAATGGTTTGTAGTGGTTATCTTTTTAACTTTTTTTACAGTTGCTGGAAATTAAGTGGGTTAGGGTTAAGGCAGCACTGATGGTAGACCTGTAGGGGGTTCTCCACACTAACAGAAGGGCTACAAGGGGCTCCCTGCACGACCAAAGGACCCAAGACACTGGGGCGCAAGATGCAGGGGAGGCTGCAGTCCTGGTCCTGCAGAGCAGAGATCTCTGGCCAGGATTATAAGGATGATAACGAGCCGCTGGCCACAGGGTGCTGCTGAACAGTTCATGTTCAGGGGCAACTCCCACATTCCTGCTGTGAGCGAAGGGCAGGATGAGCAGGGAGGCCTCCCTGCTGCTGAATGGATCTTGCCCATCCTCCTTGCGGCCCTGGCTGGGATTCTCTGCTCTGCCCTGCAGGACCGCAACCTTCCCCCAACCTTGTGCCTGCAGGGTTCAGGTGTTACCAGCCCTGTGGCTGTGCAGGGAGCCCTCTGCAGCTCAATTGTCAAAGACCCACTCCCATGACAGCAGGGCTGCAGAAGGTTTCTCTGACCAATCCCTATGGGCACAAGCTTTGGTGAGGGGCTGGGAGGCTGCTACCAATGATATTTTATTTTGTCAATTTGTGTGTCAGCTGAAATTGACGTTTACCAACAAATATCATTTGAAATCAAATCCTAATAAGCCCTATCTATATTTTAAGAATCTGGCTGTATTTTAAAACATTAACACTTTTGAAAGTGTAATTCTCATTTTTCTATCATAATTGATCATTGTAATTTAAAACAGATTAAGTTGGATTTATCAAACTGGACACACCTCTTTTACAACTCAATATATAGCTAGTTTGCATTTATATTCAACAGCTACATCCAAAGCACAGCCCTAAGTGAAATATTTATTGGCTGAAGAGTACTAAATCTATATTTTAGTAGCATATTCTTTAGCTATGTGTTCATTGTTTTGGAATTTTCTCCGAATGCATTTTTCTCACAAGCTGCATAGAGTTCTTTCTTTATTTTAGAGTGTCCTAAACTGTACATTTTAAACTTCATTATGTTGATCATTTGCATGAGTGCAGTAATGGGACTAGTTTTTTATTGTGTGGGGGGGGGGAGGGAGGGAGTTATTGCTTCTTTTTCTGTCCCTCGATGTTCTCGGAAACCAGATGTTTAATCTCAGTGGGCAATTTCTGATTTAAATATATTAAATGTTTTCTAACACCTGTCTAAACATGTATTTATGTAGTAGAAGCATTAGAGATGACTGCTATTTAATGCTAATGTTCCTTAGATGTATTGCCTTTTTAGTTTAAATGATTTAATCTCTTTTGTTACAGAGAAGTAAACACAATCTTCAGAGGAAACACCTTAGCTACTCGATGTCTAGATGAGATGATGAAAATAGTGGGAAAGCACTACCTAAAAGTTACTTTAAAGCCAGTCCTAGATGAGGTATGGGGTCTTATTGCAGATATTTGCAGTAGTATGATGAGACTCTTGTGGCACCATCTCCCATCAATATGTAGTTTCCTACAGCTCTTTTGTATAGAAAATATACTAAGTACTTGAATATTATAGTAGCTTGTGCGCCAGGTTATGGTTCTTTAGCATATTTTAATCTATATACCAAGTATTATGGGCTAAGTTGCTTGTCCAAGCCTATCGTTTCACACCCCACAGACGCTCCTGGAGACATTCTGCCAGGCAGTCAGAATTTCAGCAAGAACAGAATAAGAGCAATGGTTGTTGCACCACCCTCTAACCAGGTTCAGTAATTCTACTGGTGGGCGCAGCGGGATAGGAAGGTCCATCATGGCAGAGTAGTCCTTTGCCCTAAAAGCACAGTGAGTGGCCCTTGTATATATGCACGAGAATGGGGTAGGCTCCTTGCATGCTGCCCCCTCCTTCTGGAACATGGAGACACTATTTACTATTTTGCCCTTCAAGTCTAGGACTTGTTTTTTAGCTGATTTATTTAATATCTGAATATGTTGGAAAAATTGGTATAGTAAACAGGTTAATCTTTGTGCTTTTTGTCACTTAAAAAAATTAACCAAAAGGCTTTAATTTGTATTGTTTCAGATATGCGAGTCCCCTAAACCCTGTGAAATTGATCCCATCAAATTAAAAGAAGGCGATAATGTAGAAGTTCACAAGGTAAGTGTCCTAATAGTTTTTGTTTCCACCCTAATGAATTTCCTAATTCGTATTTAAGTTTGATACAGCTGTATAAAAGATCAGTTTCATTTTAGCTCTGTTTCTGGTACTGGTATTATTCCCTTGTGACCTTGTTTCTGCACTGTTACTAGTACTAAAGTGTATTGTCTTGTAATTTTTTGTTTGTGGCATTAGCAGAGGACCCCCTATTGGTTGCTCTTCATTTCAACAATTACCTATCTTTCAAATTTCACATCTGAATTCTTTTTAGTACAGCAGGTGATATATTGACTGCTTCTGCTGTTAACTTTGCTTAAAGCTTCATTCAGTGAACTCTTCGCTTGCCAGTGTTACGATTAAGCCACACCAGTTGGTGACATCCGCTGAAGGCAATTGCATCAGCAAAGAATTAAATAACTCTTCTGGTGAGGACTGTTGGGAAGTTATTCATCTTGGCACCAGGCCTCTGTATTGCAGAAAGGCAGTTCAATGTGTTCTTGCATTATATATCCTTGTCCTGTATTGCAAAAAACCAGCAGTGCACTTTCCAGTGGCCTTATAATTCTGAAATTCAGTGAGGATTACCAAATTACCTCTTAACAGTAACAACTTGTGTACTAGAATTACGTAGTTGAAGAGGTTACCTGTATTTATGAATGGCCAATGTGTCATATATACCATGCTGTTGGTTGTCTAGGAATAAAAAAGTGCTCTGTTGTATTTAACAGAAACATTAACATTCTGAAAGAATATACCTGTTTTTTATCCTTTCAGGAAAATCTACGTTACTATGTCGATAAAGTATTTAATACAATTGTACAGTCAAGTATAAGTTGCCCTACCTTAATGTGTGATGTGTTTTACTCTTTGAGACACCTGGCTGCCAAAAGATTTCCAAGTAAGTGTGTTTAAAAAAAACTCTTCATTAGAAATTGACAAACACTTTTTTTCGTTTAAGCATCTTTTGTGATCTCCACATGCTGTTTACCAAGGGTAGGTCTATACTTACCTCCGGGTCCGGCGGTAAGCAATCGATCTTCTGGGATCGATCCCGGAAGTGCTTGCCGTCGACGCCGGTACTCCTGCTCGGCGAGAGGAGTACGTGGCATCGACGGGGGAGCCTGCCTGCCGTGTCTGGACCCGCCGTAAGTTTGAACTAAGGTACTTCGACTTCAGCTACATTATTCACGTAGCTGAAGTTGCGTATCTTAGTTCGAAGTGGGGGGTTAGTGTGGACCAGGCCCAAGAGTGAAATATTTTAAATTGACACTTATTCTCTCTAGTGGCTTTGTAAACGGCTCTTGGTTTTCCTAGACTGTGTAGTGTATTTTGTTAACCGAACATTCTCTGCTTGGCATATTGTAATAAAACAATATTGGACAGCAGCAAGAGCTTTAACTGGGTAGGCAGCAGTACTGCTGAAAAGGATCTGGGGGTTATAGTGGATCAAACATTGAATATGAGTCAACAATGTGATGTAGTTTGAAAAAGGCTGATGTCATTCTGGGGTATATTCACAGGAGTGCCATATGTAAGACGTGGAAGTTAATTGTGCCACTGTGCATGGCATCGGTGACACCTGAGCTGGAGTATTGTGTCCAGGCTTTAGAAGGATGTGGACAAGTTGGAGAGGGTTCAGAGAAGAGCAGCAAAAATTATAAAAGGTTTAGGAAAAAACTGGGCATGTTAATTTTGGAAAAAAGAAAATTTAAGAGGGGGGGAGGGACCTGATAAGCCTTCAAATATCTTAAGGGATATTATAAAGGGATGGTGATCCATTGTTCTCCATGTCCACTGAAGGTGGGAGAAGCAGTAATGGGCTTAATCTGGTTAGATATTAGGAAAGCATTTTTTAACTATAAGGATAGTTAAGCACTGGAATAGGTTACCAAGGGAGTTTGTGGAATATCACTCATTGGAGGTTTTAAAGAACAGGTTAGACAAACATCTGCCAGGGATGTTCTAGATAAACTTGGTTCTGCCTCAGCATGACTGTTGGAGGTCCCTTCTAGCCCTACCTTTCTCTCTGATTCTTTGATTTCTTGATGCACCAAAGCAGCAGAGCTGAGTGTTGCAAGACAGTAGTAACATGTGGATAAAAACTTCAAGGGACCTGCAGAAATGCAGAAGCAATACTGAAAGTATTTTAATAGTCAAAAAACTGCCATAAAAAAGCATATCATGCTGTAAAGCTGAAGCTAAATTTACTTTTGCTTCTATGTAAAATACAGCTACTTCAACATATATTAGTGCCAGACACAGTTCCATAGTTAAGGTAGTATTGAGTATTTTGCGGTTAATGTAGGGATTCAAATAGTTTTACGTATAAAGAATTCAATATATCCTATCTAAAATTAAAGTACTTATTCTTTGAGTACAGAATGAATTTTCTGAGAATTTAAATAGGTTAATTGGTTGTGAATTAACTTTCCTTTTTAAAAAAAAATGGATCCGTTAAGAAATTTAACACCCTGTGTCAGATCACTTTCTGTCCAAATTACCTTAATACTGGAATAAAACAGGCTATTGGAACTTCCTGTATAGTTAAAAATCAGTGACATCTCTTGCATTGCTACAGGTGAAGACCATTTACCTAACAAAGAGATTTGTGTCATTATTCATAACTGAAAGTTGTTTATTCAGCAGAGGCTGACAAATGTTCTACAGAGAATTCCATGGAGAACTGCTCTTTCAAAATGGCTGTTCTCTCCTGCTATTGTCAAAGACTCTGAGGACACAGATGCTCTCAGTTTAAGATAGTACCTCGATATAACATAACCCGATATAACGTGGTAAAGCAGTGCTCCGGGGGAGGGGAGGGCTGTGCACTCCGGTGGATCAAAGCAAGTTCGATATAACGCGGTTTCACCTATAACACAGTAAGTTTTTTTTT